ATGTGTATACCGAGGGCGCCATTTCTATTCACCAGGTACTTAGTTAGAGGTCGAAGTGCAAGCTGGACAGATTGTTGGTGTACGCGTGTGCGAATGAGTGTGTGAGTGAGTGAGTGAGTGAGTGAGTGGTGTACGCAGAACCACGGAATTGTTGAATGTGATGTTACAGCACCGATGGCATCAACAATGTGCAACTAATTTGAGGTGAAGATAGATGAGCTTGGCTCGAATCGAAGGCGAACACGTCAAGGCTTCTTCAGGCGAGATGCGGTCAAGTCAGATGCAGCTGTCAACGCGTGAGATAAGGAGGAAACTATTAGAGCCAATAGCAGGCGACGATAGCGGTGACGAGCCAATGAGATGTGCAAAGTGATTAGACTTCTGCGTAGCCAATAAGAAGTGTGCCTCAGTGTGACGGGAGGTGGGTATAAGAGCAGGGGCAGTGAGTCACGCGATGCTATCACGCTTGAATCGGTTGGTGGGTTGCTCAGCGAGGAGGACAATGAGCGGCAGAGGCAAAGGAGGTAAATCGCGGGCTAAAGCGAAGACGAGGTCGGCGCGAGCTGGTCTGCAATTCCCCGTGGGTCGTGTGCACCGTCTGTTGCGTCGTGGCAACTACGCGGAGCGTGTGGGTGGGTGGTGGAGCACCGGTCTACTTGGCTGCTGTGCTCGAGTACCTGGCTGCCGAGGTGCTGCAGTTGGCGGGTAACGCGGCACGCGACAACAAGAAGACGCGTATCATTCCTCGTCACCTGCTTTTGTTTGGCTATCCGCAATGACGAGGAGTTGAACAAGCTGTTGGGCGGTGTGACCATCGCGCATGGTGGTGTGCTGCCCAACATCCAGGCGGTGCTGCTGCCGAAGAAGACGGAGAAGCCGGTGGTGAGCAAAGAGTAGGCTGGCCTGCCGCCTGACTGACTGACTGAGTTTGCAACCGTAAACGTGATAACGGCCCTGTTGAGGGCCACCCCTACCATTAACACAAAGATGATTGTTGTCCAGTTGATGTGGGTGGGCATGGACTGACGACTGACTGACCGGCTGAAAGTTGCGTGTTGGAAGCCTGTATTACTGCCATGGGTATAGGGGCTGTAGGGATGGCCTTTGGTGCTGTGGTGTCATGCAGAATTAGGAATGAGTGGGTCTGAATGGAGTGCGGTGCTTTCTTTCCACCTCTTGTACGCACTCTTGAGGCTGTTCGCCGACTACTAGTTCGGCAGGTCGTCATAACACAAGATTTTTACACTACGCGTTGAATATTTCTGAGTATAATTGGCAGCCATATCCGTCTGTGTTGATGTTCCTGCGCAGCAACCGTGCGAGGGGCGGAAGGAACGC